TAAATTAAACACTGTCCCCCAGTCCCAACATGTTTAATTTAGACAGGTTTTACTGTAGTAATGTATATTGACATACTTATTAGGTTTTGCTATATTAATTAGGTATCACTATATTAATAAGGAGAACCTAGCATTTTAGATTCCGCCGCAACTAAAACAATTAAATACAGTTTCGTTTTTGAACAGAAATGTTCGTTTGCCTTGCTAAAGCTCTAGTACCGGATTGCGATCCGCTACACTTGTACTGGTTTTTGTAAAGAACGTAATGTCGGTGACCTTAGCTTAGCTTCCTTTAAGCAAAGAGCTACGGCAGCCCCGCTGCTGTGCCATATGTCGAACACTCACAGAAATTTGATCACCAATGCTGATGACGATACATTCTATTAGATTATATTAAGAGCTCTGATATGATGCATAACCATCTACTGTTTGATGCTTTTCATTATCGAAAACTCTATAAGATATTAATATGCTGACTCCTTTCTTGTGCCTAGGAACAACTGACTTTAAGATGTAGACGGGTATCTAATGCAGCGGGGCTGCCGGGGCTCTTTACTCAGAGGTAGCTTTTTAAGGTCACCGACCTTACGGTATACTAGAACCAGTACGAGTGTAGCGGATCGCAATCGACTAACTCCAAGAGTACTCAAAACCTTTCGAGGCAAATACACTCTTCCGTTCAAAATTGAAACTGTATTTACTTGTTTATTTGTGGCAGAGTCGCCTACATATAGAATCTTGGGTTTTCTAACTTAAATAGTAAGACCTGATTACTGTGCATAGCTACTGGCAGTCCCGCCACGTAGTGGCTTCTTAATTACACCAACTTGTGTAGTCCACACCTTTGTACGCTTGTGTGACCCACCCTTTCATACCATAGTACGTGTAGCCACGTTACATCTAAGGTCAAATGAAAATGAGGAAGATTCTGCTGAAAGACCCTACAAATAATATCAATCTTTATACGGCGCCACAAGATTGTATAAACTCGCTGATGTCCTCCGATAGTATTGAGCAAATATTTTAGCTACTTTGTACTTTTAATAATTATGAGTAATCATAATAACGCTCGAAATTGAATATGGGACACGTATCCAGCTCTATATGGAGATTCTACCCATTATCGTTACGTCTCTAACGCTTGTCAAATCCTGTCTGACATTAGAAAACGAGTTCAAACGAGAAAAGTTAACGCAGTCGGAGCATACGTGTATTTACAGTCATGATCATGACTTGACCTTTTTGATAGTAGATGCTTTTACAACCCATTTTTCTCTGAAATCTTCCATGTATCTATATTTAGAATCTGGCATAAATCGATCTCCTGACTTAATCCGATTCTTGAATTAGCATGAAAGAATTCTGTACATAAGTATGGTGGCTTGTTTTGGTCCATAAGATTAAAAATCGGATTTCTACCGATAATCAATCTGGTTGGTCGTCCTCGATCTTGCCGAGTTACAAAGCTGAAAGTGATATAATATTCGAACGAAATGCGTATGACTCAATGCTAATAGTGTGGTAATAAAAGATCATGTAAAGCCTCCTCACGATGCATTTCGAGTGGCTTGTGCTAGACCGCGTACGCAGCCACCCTCTAAATTGTGCAGCGGTGGCATGCTTCTGATCTGGTCTGCTGGGTGAGATAAATTTCCCTGTCATGTTGCTGTCGAGACTTTAATGGCGTTCCACTAGCTGGTGGTATTCGATTTCGGTTCAGATACATGAATAGCAGCAGAGCTGTCAAGTCTTTCTGTAACTGTGATGACTTCCATCAAGAACATCTGCACTCAGTGCAAACTACATGATTCGAGACTTTTTACTTATTGAAGTCAGTAAGAATACCGTCGTAGAGTCGTAGCATTGACGGCTACAATCGAGTGACAAAACGTGCAAGTGCTGCGCACAATTCTCCAAAGGCAGATGTTGTAAAGCTCACCATGGTTGTGTGTTTAAGTCGGACGACCACTGATTGAGATTGACGCCGGCTATATCTCGCTTTATCAAATAATAGATGCAGCGTAAAGCCATGCAAAAGTGTTATCAAACTACTACTCTTTGCTGATTCTAAAGTGCGATACATTTTGAAATCTTCACAGCGTCGCTTGATGATCGCTACACACAGCAGAGTCTTGGTATGTGCATTAACAACACCAAAAATCTGTACTTGCCTTCAACAAGAACCCTACATGGTCAACGTCAATAACTCCGATTGCAGCAGCAGAGGCGTCAGAAATAACCTGAGTCGTATCCAGCGAGCGGTGCTAGACTCAGCGCCGTACAATGATCGACAGTGGAGACGGTTGGGTAGTCCGATCGATGCCGTCAACAAATCCGCGACAGGATAGGAAAGGATATTTGCGCAAACACGCAGGCAGTGTTGACCTACCAATCGAGTCTTTGCGTACTCGTACACTCCAAAAAGCGTTTGTCGACCTCAAACCGCTCATGTTTGCATTGGCCGCACTCATAGTCGAAGCCAGTATGCGGAGCTCATCGCGGTAAAGAACGAGCCAGTGGTTGAACAGGTGGATAATCTTCAAGCGCTGGCTCGTTTGAAGGCTCATCTACTTTTTCGTGAGTATAAAAAGATCCGACATCGGCTTTGCCACCTGCAGGTGAGCGCATTAGCCGCTCAATAACGCGTGTGCACAACGCTGTGTTGGCTCGTTTTGAAAGTGTATGCGAGGAAGAACAAAAGCGTTTGTTTACTTTGATCCAGGATAATCTACCGTTCATTCGAGTTTGGCTTACATTTGCTCCATTGTCGCGTTGAATTTTGCCATAAGATTGTGCACCGTGAAGGTTTGCAATTTACGGAGGCAGTATCACACTGAAATTTGGGTAACATGGCGGCACAGTACATTAAAGAATACGCAACGTCTAGTGGATGATGCCCGTCCGTTGTTATTGCTGCATTTAAACGACATTGCTGACATACTTGCCCGTGGTAGCGATTGTGCAGAGATGGATACAACGCACTAAGTGAAGTATATTCTGTGCTATGCTTGAAATTGACCAAACATTATAATTGTGAAAAATGGCTTGTAATTTGAAATGTTAAGTAAATATCCGATCTCTAGTCATTGTTTGATTTAATTTGAGATCTTGTGTCAAAATAGACGGTGATGTTTATGTTGACAAAAAGTCGGATTAGTATGATAGAGATCTGGATTCGATAGGATGCCTTTTGGTCATTATCTTAGGCCCATTCAAATGGTGTGGACGCCAACGGAGTTAGTCAGCAGCTCGTAAATTTTAATGAAGCACGAGTGTACATATACAAGTCGTTATCACCAAAAGCGATCGTCTCCTCGCGATTTTTTTTCAAATGCTTTTGCGAGGTATTTTCTTAGATAACGTAGCGGATAGTCTCCTCACACGAACGACCCCACGTTGACAAAAAAAACGATCCTTTCTACTGAATCATGACTCAAATTTCCAGTTTCAAATTTATCGGGCTTGGTAAAAGCTTCGTAATAGACCACAACTTTCTTAGATTTTATTAAAACCATTTAAAGCGCTCAGTAATAAATGATATGGGTTTGCACCGAACATTGGCGGACGTTAAAACATGAGATTTTGTATAGTAAAAGTGTTGGTGTCCAGCTTCCACAATTCTTCTCTATAATTTTCGGTCTACCTCAACTCCAATTGTTGGCTAGAAATGTATCTGTCCTTTTTTTATCTATGCCTAAGGCTATCATAATGATTCTAAAGTCGATTTGACAACTACTACAGTACCGCTATGTACGAGAACGCTATTTACAACAGTCCCTCAACACAACACACACGCTTGTGCAACGAAGCGAATCCCGACGTGGTGGGAGAAGGACATTCCCAACTTGAAGGGAGGAAGAACGACTTAAGATCTTAACAGTAAATTTGCAACTAAATGAAAATGAGTACATGTTTTCTCGTTACATGCAAAACACCCCACAAGGCTTCTAGTGGTTGACTAACAAAACCTTGGGTTCCTGATAAAATGAAATCAAGGGTTTACTGAGGCTGAACGTCAGTTGAACTTGTAAAAGATCTTGGATGTACAGAGCTTGAACCTCAAAAAGCTTGAACTTTAACTTTCGTGGAGAGTATCTAGTGGGAGGGACTGGCCTACGCCTAGCACTTCGAAAGACAGAGACACATCGGTCTCGCCACCAGTACATATCCCAAGTAGCGGTCAGTATTTTTTATCACATAGAATGTTTGTGACTCATTTAAGATGTAGCGTATGCATTAAAGAACACCATACTGTAATCTTCTGTTTTTAAACTTCCACAATATATGCAGAAGGTACGTAGATGTATCTTCATGGAATAGCTAGAGTAGCCCATTACACAGTATAGATGCCAAAATTCTGGTCTCAAACGCGCTTTAAACTGTTTTTGAGCGAAGTAAAGGCCGAGGCTCCAGGATAACGATGATGAGTGCAAAGGGTCGGAACAAGCCATCAAAGTGCAGCTTGTTTGATAGCATGTACCATCATAAATGCCTTCTCGTTCCGAATGCTGGTCAATGATTAACCCGTGAAAGCACGCGATAGCATTTGCTACATTATTCCAAGAAATGTATTTGTACAATAATTGACATTAATGCCGCGAGGTCTTTCGCTATAACTCTTCGTGTCGACTCGTTGGTAATAATTTTACGTACGCGCATTTCAATTGGTGTGGGGGTTGATGTGGCTCCGATAGATAGCCTGAGAGTTTCATACAGGTCTTGTTCGATAAGGCAGCCGGGGTGTCCCTATCAGAATAACCACAGTGAGTCCTTAAGTCACTTACGCTTTCTCCAAATTTTATTTAGCCAGACCGTTTGTTGCTACAAGAACTCACCCGAATACTAGGCATTCTTTACGCCACGACTCTGCACAATTTGCGCACCTAAACTCGAAACCTGTGATCACGACACCCAGCTACGAAATTTCATTTTTCCTCTCAGCTAACAATCTTCCATCGCCTTCAGCACCCTCGTTAGAAATTCACGTTCCGCACGCCAATCGGCCTCTTGGCACGGAGGCTGAGATCCGCATTCAATGCGACACCCCACGCATCCTCGGAAGAGATTAATTGGACAAAAAAGGTCTTAGTGGGAGCTTCTGTGAACGCAAATATTTTTAGTGGGATCCACACCCGGACAAAAAACCTTTAATGATATGTCAGCCGTTCGCGATTTTGGTCTCGCCGCCAATCCGGAAATTAGACTATATTAGTTTCTTGCTTCAGTGTGCAAGTTTTTTCACCCACAAGGTTCTGAATGCACGTGGCACGGCTGGTCAGGCGGTGTGGGCAGCCGCAACATTTGTCGCTGGGATGGTTGCTTTTGCTATAGAGATACTACATTTTAGTTTTTAATCTCGCGCGCGGTCTCCTGGCTTTAATACTGGTAACACGACACGTAGTTACTTCATCACGAGGGACCAAGGTTATTCCCAGTTTGCTTTTCTCGAAAGAAGAGAACCACCTCTTCTTTACCCTTAACGGGCTGGAGGCTCAGTAATAGCAGCTACACGGCGCGATTTGGTTGTGGTCTCATCAATGCCTGGTTGAGGCGCTCCGACAGGTACCTCACCAGCGTATCAAGGCTGGTGAACGCTTTTAGGCAAAGAAAAATCGTAACTGGTCGTAGCGCGGCCACATATGTCTCCTCTTGGGGTTAAATGAAGCCAGATAGTTGGTTAGCATGTCTTGATGTCTAATAGTCGGATTGTGAGCATATTATGTCTCATTCCCACAAGGATTACAGTCTGATTACGACTCGGCCTCTGCATTGACACCTAGCACTTTGGAACAAACAGGTAGCTATGAACCTCGTATACAGAAGATTTGATTCTGAAGGTCTGCGCTAGCTGACGTATAAAGCGTTTAGCTTGGAAGTAGAACCGAAAGTCTTTCGAGGGGTATGAGGACTATTCAACTGAAGGGGTCAAGAAGGGTACGCATTAAAGTCAGGTTTATCGATATATGTATGTTCTTCTATGTCAATGATAAGACTCTTTGAGCTGCAGAGCATGAGACTAGCAGCTCACGTGTATTGCGGACCTCGCCTATCAAAAGTCCCAACCTCCTAATTCATACCGATACAAATCATGATTATTCGTCATGGTACTTCTCATATATATACATCATTATACGATACTTAACCAGTGAAAAGAAAAAAAAACTCGACTCATTGAAATTACTTCCGATGAACGTGTTTGATGTATTTGGCGAGATTACGTCCAAATGTCTATATGCTTCCCACACATATTTCACACTGTACCGAAGTACGTATTATGTTTAGGCGAGTGTTTCTCGATATAATGGAAATACCATGATGGAGTCTTCTGACAACTACTAGACACGTATGACGTGATAGGACTCCGTGAAGTAGCGGCCTGTTGGTACGAGGTACGTACCGTATTTGTGTGTATGTTTGCGCAAGTTTACAACTAATAGTTTGTGTGATTGTGCGAGACACACATTGCGATCATAGTTGATTGTGTTAAATACAAAGATACAAAATAAGTTACTGGTGAGGTTGATAGACTTTGCAAAGGGAAGGTCCATGAGACAGACGGGTTGTAGCCTCACTCCATACTAACTGTTAATAGTCAGTTATCGAACAT